CCGTTTAGGATGTCCGCCGACGCTGTTTTGGTTCCTCTGCATGGCGCACTTGTACCACTTCATGCTCGACACGCTCCGAGGATCCTCGAAATTAACCGCATTGCAGCGAAATAAGACCAAATTAACGGGAGTTTAATGCCATTAAAAACACATATGTTGGCCGCACGGTCAAAGAACACGTTCAAATTATTTAATTTTATGAATAAACGAGTGTGGAAATAAAGTCTTTACTTTCGCATATCTAGAGCGCTTATTCTATATCGATGCATCGCTATTCTAGATGCAAGAGTGTACGAGAATTTGTGTGTTGCTAGGGATTCATCGTGGAAAGATTCCAAAGGGGTAGCAAGCAAGGTCGTAAAAAAGAAGACATGCAAGCAACCGCTATTTGTCTTCTTTCCTCACGTCTTGGTTTCTTGTGTGAGCACTGAGAAACTCTCGCAAATGAAATATCATGTTGCCGCTTAACAGTTCAATGTTTCAAAAATATTTTAATGGTTAGCACATTTCTCAGCGAATCAACCATGGTAGGAGTTGTATGTTGGATTTCAAAAGCATCTAGCAACCCATGCAAAGGAAGTACGCCTGCACATTTGCGTGCATACAAAAGCAAAGGCTGAATATATGTGTTTCCTAATGCACCGATTCAGGTTTCTTTACAGATTTCAGGCCGGCAATAATAGAGTACTCAAATCAAAATAAGTTGCTTACAGATGTTGGATATGTACATGTGCCACATACAAGACTTGGCGCCTAAGCGCCGACTATGCAAGTGGTCCAAATTAGATTTGCTGCGTAGACTTGAAGGTGCTTTGATATACATAGACACACAAACAAAGCTCGCAGTGTCCCTTGTGTGTTGGGCTATAGGACGAAAGCTATGCATTTTTTCTCAAGTGATACCACCTTCCGGCAGTTTCTGTACAGACCGTGGATTTGCTTTGCCTCAAAGATTAGAGGCATTGAAACCTCTTTGCGTCTGATTTTGTATATCCCTGCCTCCGTGATCAGTCGACCTTTGACCGTGCAACAATATCATGCGATGGCGTTTCCCCGTGAGATCAGTCGTGACGTCACAGCGATGTCGTGATGACATCATGGAGAGGTCACAACATTTGGCGATATGTAACGTCATAACGACGTCATTTGGTGGCATCATCACGAGACGATTTTAGGCGTCACTTGTGTTGACGCCACCGATGGCCAATTTTCGTGTTTCGTGAGGTATTTGAAGACTTTCGAATGAAAATTATAGGAGTGGACTTGATTATGTTGCCAGTAAAAACAACAGCTTATTTCTCAATTACACTTAGTGTGACTTCAAATTAAAAAAAATGAAGCTCTTTAGTTTTAATTCCAATATTCGCACATTGTTGTTAGAGTACGGCTTGTAAACAAGGACAAGACTTACAATGGCAAACATATGGTTACTCGTGAAAATAGCGGGGCAAGAAGTAAACAAGTTTTCAGAAGGGGTCATGCTGTTCATGGATACTAAAAGTTCTGTCTCCGAATCCACATTTTTGTTCCCTGTCACTTGGACAGGAAGGACATCAAGCAAAGTGTTAACAACGTAATGTACTTATCAGACAAAAAAGAAGAGGCTCAATAAAACGATTCTTGAAAAAGAAGTGGAAAGTTTCATGCATGAAAAACGCAATGCGATTGTTAAGCACACTCTAGTGAATGATTCGGGATATACTTCGGACATACTTCGACATCTAAAAGAATACCACGCACTTAAGTCTGATTACAAGAGTGTGTGTGTGTGTTTTTTTTTTTTAGATTTCACTTTACCGAAACGTTGCCGCCACCCATGGTATCGATTTAACAACTTCGAGTTCAGCACTGCAGTGCCGTAGTTATAAACTACCGTGGTAGTTTAAAGCTGATTGATTGATTGATTGATTGATTGATATGTGGGGTTTAACGTCCCAAAACTATCATATGAATATGAGAGATGCCGTAGTGGAGGGCTCCGGAAATTTCGACCACCTTGGGTTCTTTAACGTGTACCCAAATCTGAGCACACAGGCCTACAACATTTTCGCCTCCATCGGAAATGCAGCCACCGCAGCCTGGATGTGAACCCGCGACCTGCGGGTCAGCAGCCGAGTACTTTAGCCACTAGACTACCGCGGCGGGGCGTGGTAGTTTAAAGCACTAAAAGTAATAAGAGAGCACACGACTAAAACGGCAACTGTGGCTTGTCTCATTACGTGACACAGCTGTAAGTCGTGTCTTTGAATAAAAAAATCATATAATTATAAGAATACAAAAGTACACCAGATGGAAGTGAGCTTTAGGGGGACCTAATGTCCAAAGTTATCAGTAAAAGTTGATTAGAAATAACAAATATTACATGAAAACTTGTGTTGCAAATGAAAAAAGAAAGTTCCAGGTAAGCAAAAGCAATAGGCCCCACTTAGCCTTCAAAAATTAGATATAGAACTCGTAAAATATTAAGTAAAGAAAAACTGGTATTTGAACCAAGCAATCAAAGAGCAGTGTTCATATAAAGTTATTATGAATTGTGCGTAATAAAGCAGAAGAATAATCAATGTCGTCCGTAATTAAACTTTATTCCCTAAGGGAAGTAGCGGTTTTATATTTGACGTTACGTACCATGTTCCGTACAGCAATAGCAGTAAGATAAATTATCGAATGCCCTCTAGGTGGTGTTTGTATAGAAGACGTAAACTAATTTTAAACGTGCAGTAGTATGGTTTCGTACAGGGATACATGGAAATTAATATCGAGACAAAATCTAGTACTGGAGCAGAACCGTGCCACGACTATGAAGAAGACACTTTGACAAATGGGCAAACGGGGCAATTGGCAATACTCATTAAGAAGACACAATGAAGAAATAAAACGAAACGGTTTTGGCGGCTGCTCGGATGTAAAAGAAAGAATGTTCAAAACTTCTGCGATGGTGCTGTAAAAGTAGATAAGGAGAGGAAATTACAATCGGACGGATGCGAGTACGTCAATATACTCAGTCAGCACTGCCGCTAGGTGTTTTTCATTATTTGCTGTTTATTTCCTAAATATATTTACGAACACAGAAATCTAGAGATGATATTACAGCGCACTGATGGTAGTCAATAAAAAAAAAAAGGGGGGGGATAAGAAGATTGAAGACTTTAATAAGCAGGAGTTAGCGGGATCGATTACCTGATATGTCGATCGATTTCTGCGTACCAAAGGTTTGCGTGAGCTGTTCTAGTGGTCCCTGTGGAAGGATGTTGCGTAGAGACATTATTTAACCACTCCAGCAAAGCCTATGCAGAATAGCGTTATCGTAAACTTACGCACCGGAAATGCGGCGGCCATCAATGGACACGCGCGAGTTTCGTCACTGTGAAATGACAATGTAACAATGCGCACGCCAATGAAGTTCCTGTGCTGCTTTTGTCTATAGCGTAAATTCGGCAACTTTTGATAAGGGAGACAATAGGTTCGAAAGAAAGCTTTTCTCTATTGCGTTCTCATTAAAAATACGCAACAAGGAATTACCTGGAATTTCACGTACTAAAACCACACTATTAACTCATGCCACGCCGGGGTGGCGGGCTCCGGACATTTCAATCATCAGGTGTTTTTGCACGTGCACAGACATCGATCGCACCATCCACGGGCCCGCATGCATTACGCCTCTCTATCATTCTATCAAAACACGACCACCGCGGGCTCGACAGTGGTGGTCGTGGTCAGCAGCTGTAATAAGATGACAAAACTGCAAAACCATACCTGCGAAAACCGGGTCTTGCTTACTGCACTTTGGAGCACTTCAGACAAAGGTACTGAACTCTGTGCTCAAGTCACCCTTCGGCGGCGTCACGCTTCAGTCTGGTCTCTTAAAGTGTTGTCTCTTGTGAAGCCACTCTAAGGATGTCCGTCGAGCGCTAGTCAACGGCGGCGCACCATCAAAGCTTACCATTATCATAAAGACGGTGAGGTGTGCAGACGTAGACACAGAAGGGAGCAGACAGCACACTGCAGATGCTGTTGGCTCAAAGGGCACACTACAGTGCATGCGCATGCACCTGCTTAACGTGGCACTACCTATGTTTTATGCGTGCGCAAGGATGGATGGATGGATTGATATGGCTATACCCTTTAAATTGGGTGGTGACTAACGTCACCAAGCACGCTTAGGTATAGCAGCGCCACCTGTGAAGTAGGCGAATGCGCAAATATACGTTAGATAAAAATTTTTAGGCACTAGGTTTCTTCGTAAGAAACGTCGAGCGCTAACTATGACAGGGACAAGAGCTAGGGAATGACGCCAGTGCTGCTATCAATTGAGTTTATAAAGCAAGATCAAACATATATACCCAGAGCACGTCATCCACTGCACAAGTGTGCCGTCCTAGGTGCAATGACAGGCACTATCACACCGTATCTACTTGCTACCCTTTTTCTTTTAGAAGTAACACTCCTTTGATGGTAATCGTTAATGACGGGGGACTTATAAAGGCTGACACCCCGAGTGTGAAATGACTTCGAAAGTTCTCGTGTGGTGTGATCACTGTGTTTTAACAGGGTGACCATGTCAGAAAAACGCGCTTTGTGTCCATACTGCCAGGCATCGTGCTCGAACCTGTGGTAGTCATGCTGCGACTAGCAGAACATGCTTCTGTTACGTGCCTTCGGTAACTTTTTGTAACACGAATCTGAGGCCACGCCAGAAGTTAATTTTGTCTTCAGCTTCTGCCCCAACAGGTTATGAACTGCCACAATATTTTCCATGAGTGGCTGCCTGTTTGTCATGCCACTGGAGCCACTGGAAATATATATCCGTTCCGCAGTGAACCGAGGCTATTCCAGGTTTCTCTGTATCAAATTTAACCACACAATGACCCAGTAAGGTTCGTGATACGATCAGGTTTCTATATTACGTTTTAGACCTTTTAAAAAACACCAAAACAAAGAAGCTTCTTCCTATAGAGAGCCATTTATGACGATGTTCCCGTTTTGGCTGTCATTGTTTGCAGAGGCGAAAACGTACATCAACTGCTTGCGGAACTACAACCACAGTGGGGACCAGTGCTCCGAAAGGTTGCGCACACTCAAGGACCAGTACAAAGAGTACTCCGAGGGGCTCACCAACACGAACGACGTCTGCTGGTGCGTCTATACACTAGCTACGCGTAGCTTGTAAGAATTGAAGCTTGGCCGAGTTGGTAAGAATTCATTAATAAGGTATTAACAGGACTTGAACGATAAATAAAAGGGACAGGTAGGTAGAGGCAAAGCAGCGCTCTTTGCCTCTACTTGTCTTCTTTCTCGTCTGTGCGCTGTTAATACCAATTATGAATGGTCTTTGCAAGGCCAGAGTGCTTATGACGCCTTGCAAGAAAAATGCCCAGATGCCCTGACTCCTCTTTCTCAAAGGAAGGGGAGGGTTCAGGACATCTGGACCTCTTACCCTCCCCTTTAGCCCTTTCACAGTCTGCGCGCGCAACGTCGGCGAGCTCAAAGTGACGAACTCGGGATATCTTTCCAGCTACTGCGGTGTTAAAACGCTCTGCATAATGACAATAAATCTATTGAAAACCTTTGTTATCATCAGAAAAAATAATTTTGGGGTCACAGTTTTTTCCCCTTCCCTCACTTAAAAAAATCTGTGTATAAGGCGCTGCACAAAACGTTTGTAAACTTCATGAACGTAATGCAAGCGCACCATGAAAGATATCACGAAGAATTGGTTATTCGTATTTGTGTGTGTTCATGAAATTAGGGAATAGAAATGCCACATTTAGGAGCCACAGCAGTTTTGGCACTTTGCTCTCTTATATGAAACCATCGATAAAACGATAAGAAAGCTTAGGCTGTCTTTCAATGCATCAGTGCCTCTCGCGTTAAGTGAATAAAAAAAAGGTTTATTACGAAGTCCATGATACCCTTCATAAGTTGCAGCTATATACTGCAGCTCTACCACGACAGCCAGCTGGCGTTGGCCATGGCAAAGCTATATTGCGTTCAAAATTTTAAAACTTTTTGATGAAGATGAGAATACATACGTCGTATTTATTCGATGACGTTGGCGACGATATTTATTCTGATTCATCGATATTTATTCGATATTTATTCTGGGTGGTGACCACCATGATAGCAACCAGCAGTCACCTAGCACTTTGCTTTTTTAGTGTGAAGTATCATTTCATCTATAGTTATTCAACGTGTAATCTGTCTTATTTCTTTATTTTGTGATACAGGCACGCGTGACTTTACGTACTCGCTGTTATATACTTTTAGAGACTCCGGTACTGTCAGTATTTGCTCTGCCCTATACCTTTTTTTACGTGCCTGACTTATATCAACCACTGATCACTCAGTCACGAAAGTAGCGCAGCCATAAAGAAATAGATGCTAAACGCCGACCCACGAAAGATGTGGCCACCATGGTTCGATGGAACGGGGCCGTAGTATTTGGAGCCTCGCGTTCATTCAATGGGTTCGGTGGCGCTGCAGTTAATTCCATGGGTCGAGGGAATAATTTCAGAGTTCTCGCATACATGGGGCTGTGCGAGAACATTCGGCTTTCGCTCAGAACTACTTCACTTTTTTTTTTGTTTTCTCGCGCAGTGCCTACCACTCGTACCACAAGTGCCTGGGAGACCGCTTAGCGAACGCCTGCGGGGACGATGCTCGACAGCACGTCGAACTGTACGCAGACAAGCTGACCAATCGGCTGCTGTACAACTTCTGCCGAAACTACGAAACGTCGGTGTGCGTCGACGTGGACTCGGGCACGACGCGGCTCGCCAGCGCAGCAGGAACTGCGCTTACGTCGGCGGTTCTTGCTTACGTCACCGGCTACATGCTGTGGTAGCTGTCTAGGGCGTCATTATATAAATACGTATATTCCGGGCTGTAATGTACAGACGTGGAAAACACAGATATGTCGAAAGTCACGGCTGCACTAGAGAACGCCGCAAGTTTGCCCAACCTAGGTTCTCGCACGCATCGTTTGAGTGCTTTTTGATCTCTATAGCTTCTTGAGTAACTGAGTGGGTGGGTGATAAGTTGCGTTTCAATCAAGCCCAGTCGGCTGTGTGAGACGGTGCAGTATGCAGTGCAGGATTTTTGCAAGCCAGTACGCGTGAGGGTAAACGAGATAGTTGAATAGAAGAAAAAAGCCAGTGATAATTGGGGTTCTTATGAGAAAAAGACGAAAATACACAGCTGTCCAAATTATAAATTCTTGAGGAGCTTCTCCCCCCTCTCCCACCCAAAAAAAGAAGAAAAAGATGGGCAACAGACTCGCGCAGACACACCAGTAAAAAGCAAAATGTGAGGCAGTAATTTGGACGAAGCTAATGTTACTGAAATTTATGTAAAAATACGCTTGTTACGTCCATGGCGGTTGGCAGATCCATTTGCTGCCATCGAAGCGTTGGTAGGAAACGCAAAAGATAAATTGACTGGAAGAGACTAGACAAAATAACATTTGTTAAGGTTTAACGTCCAAAAATCACCACATCCTAATGATAAATGCGAAACTGGTAAAAAAAGCGCACATGCCATAGTAACGCATAACGAAATGGTAGCAGTGGTGGTGGTTTACAATTGCCGCAATTTGGAAACGCTTCCGGTCTTCCAGCTTTTCTGTAGCTGCCGTTTTGTGCTTATACTGTTGTCTTCCTTATTCTGTTATTTTTTTGTCTTTAGATTCAGCATAAAATATAAGCTGGAGGATTGTACTCGCCGTGTCGTCCCTCTCAGTCACAGTGTCTGTACGAACTTTCATAAAAAAAAACTTCTATTTTTAAATCTGGCCCACAGTCACATTAGGAAGAGTTTGACTGAACATATCGTATAAGTCTAGCAGTGCACAATCCCATGTTTTGTCTACTGCAGTTCAGAAAACTTGAATAGTCCTCTCAGGTGAATTGTTCTACGAGTGACAAAAATCAAACATTTTAAATTCATCCAGCAGTTGTCGAGAATCGCGTATATATGACGCAATGCCTTTGAGTTCCCTACCTTGAGACAGCGGGTTTACTATATGCTCCTCATGTACTATATATATATATATATATATATATATATATATATATATATATATATATATATATATATATATATATATATATATATATATATATATATATATATCAGAAAATATTCGAAAACATAGTGAATAGTGAACACCAGTGCTTTATTTAGGAGGGAGATAATGTAACTAATTTTCTTAATGTTTCACATAACATAAATAACATTAACACGTTTGATTGTGGTATAGTTTTGCTCATGAATTTTTCGAACTTTGTACGTTTCATCAATCACAAATAAAAACGGCATAGTAGTGAATATGAAGCGCATTGAATTTGTTTTGCATGTGTCACTTGCAGTTGCCAAAAAAAAATAGGAAGAAACAAAAAAGAGACACTAGAGACGGACAGACGAACTTTATTCGCTTCCCAGGAAAGTATTGTTTAAAACCCGATCAGGGCATCACCCGCGACGGGGGTCGAAAGCCGAATGCTCCCGATCACTGCAGGTGCTGCGTATTTCGGAGACCAAACATTCAAGTCAGTGTATTCGAATGTTGGTTATATGTAGCTGCAAAGACTGCAAAACTAAGTTCAGGCTTTACTATAATAATAATGTCTTTTGTAACGTTTTAACTCTGCAAGGTTATGCCGTGCTCGAAATAACTTCAGCGAAAACAGATTAGCACAAGTGTACAATAACCGGAGGTGAAATATCGCAACAAACACTCGAAATGATGGCTTAAAGGCGAAATCCGGCAATTTTGCGATCAGATTAGGGTAATGGTGTCTCTTTCGAGACACTCTTGTCATGAGCGAAAAAGCTTAAATGCTCGGGAAATTAGAAAATAAATTTTAATAAGCGAAAGGGTGCAATACCGATACCGAAAAGCAAGCCGAGCGCACTGTCTACGTATGACTTAATATTGGGTAAGAACCGGAAGTCGTATACTGGTCCCGCCTATGCGGAGTATGAAAACCGTAAATGCCAGTTTAGTGAAGCACCGACCAAACACCACAGAGAAAAGAAGAAAGATTTTCCGTGCCAAACGCCACCGCCGTCACCTTGTGGTCAGCACAATAACGCTGTATAGCGGCCAAAGTATCGTTGCTATCGGCTGCGTCACTTCCGTTGACATGCCAAACAGACAGTGTTGCCAATAATTCTGACAAGCTATAGGTGAGCTTTTCGAGGCAATCTTTAAAATTCATTTGCAAACAACCAACGCATCTCTCAAGCCCGGAATTCGGTGGCTTTGCCACTCTTTTCACTGATCATTTTGACTAATTTCCTTTTGCTGCAGCTTACATGCATATATCGGGTAGAAGGCTGCAAATTGCGTTTTTTTTTGCATTCTTGCACCTTGGCTACTGGCATAACATTATAGGACAATTAAACGAGCAGAAGCTATTCCGTGTTTTCGGGACTCGAGTGAAGAAATGTTGATCAGTCAGTGGCTTACGGTATACGGTACAGCCATAAACGTGCACAAGCGGGGGGGGGGGGGGGGTAGGCAGGGGATGAGAGGGGGTAGGGTGCAAAGTCAGTCCCATACATTGATGTAATGTACTGCCAAAAACTTTCGTTCTCTCTTCCCCCCCACCCACCCCCCCCGAAAGGAAACCCCTGCTATATCCATACAAATCGTGCTGGTGGAGCACGAAAACAAGCGAAATCAACTGCAGAACCAAGTGACTTATCGAAAGCGTGACCCGCATCCTATACCGAATCGGTGGCGCAGGCCAACAATCAGAGTTGCCGTACCAGTGCGGCCCGAATGTAACGACAGGGATCCAAAGAAAGTGGCACAGAGACAATCAGCTCAAATAAAGACAGTAATGCGCGCCAGAGAAAAGCTCAAGAGATACAATTAGTTTTGCCAAGGAAGATGCAACGTCCCACGAGGTGAGCCTCGACAAAGGTCGCCCACTGGTAATTGCACCGTGGATGAGCCTGTCAGTCCTCGTTAGCGTCGCTGTTGCGCCTGGTTGCTCTGGGACGGCGCTGCTAAGGAAACAAAAAACGAGTAACATGCCTCTATGAGCCAAAACCAACAATACACACGTGAGAAGGGAGGTGGAAAAGGACAAGATAATCACCTTTCAGTCTTGCCACGACTCCCAGATACCGTCCCGGTGCAGAGGGTCGGCCCTGGGATCCGGCGTGCCGACTAGCGGGCTTTTCATCGTTAGCTTCAGTTCGTCCAGTCGTCCTCGCAGTCTCATGTACTCCTGAGAGACCATGTTGCAACTTCAGATACAGTTAGCGATAATACTTCAGGAAGCGAAAGAGCGGTAACGAATCGTGCGTTTCGCCACAATTGGTTCGTGTCGAACGCGCCCCTCTAAAAAAAAAAAACAGCTATTCCCTCGTGTGAACTAGGTCGCAGGGAGAACTTTGGCTCACTGTTGACGCTGAATAATGCGTATACTGGTTATGCGCTTGTTAGATAATCATCGGCTGATATAAGCAGCGTATACGCTTGCTACGTTTTATTGTGTGCTCGGGGTATCGCGCTCTGCCAGCGATTGCAACATATAGTGCTGGTTCCACGCTCATTAGCATTAGTTCGCAGATTAACGGATAGCTTGCGCAAGTTGGTGGACGGTTTCTTCATGCGCAGTTGTGAACCAGTCTTTTGGTCGGATTGCACATTCTGGAAACACGTATATGGCTGCATTAATTCATGAGCCTATTCTAATGATTGCGACGTTCCCTCATGTAGCAGATATAAGTAATCACGAGTGACAATAAAATAACGTTTCATTTAGCAGCTTCAGTCTGAAATGGCCAACTATAAACGATTCCCTTGGTAGATGAAAAGAGAAAAAATGTTTTAATGCATCTAATTAGTTATTACCAACGCTTTTCTTTGTGAGAAGAAACACAATACCAACTTTATCCTTGCATGAAGTTGTTTCTTATTATATAAGTAGATCAAAAGTTGGCGCTATTTTAGTATACACTCTACTCCTGCAAAGCATTGCGCTATATATATATATATATATATATATATATATATATATATATATATATATATATGATATGTTCCTTGTTGTATTAAGTTATAAAGTTTTCAATAAAAAAGGAAAACAAAAAACCGTAATAAATAGTCAAGCCACTGAACTTCCCAACATTATTATGTTCTTTTTTTACCACATCAAACTTGGTGCACACAATTTTTCAAGTTATACCGTTTATCAATAAAGACGTGTTTCGTAGTTCACTACGGCTTATTGAGACCTTTACTCCACGCGTTTTTTGATACCCGTTAGATGTCATTTTTCGGAACGCTACAGTAAAGCTGTCAAGTAGCCGATAAAGGAGTTTCGGGCTCACAGCATTAAAGATCATTGCGTCCTCAATGCAATCAGGGCACACAGGATTAACTATATATAGTGTGCTAGCACAGCGTGTATTCCGAAAGCTTCGTCAGATTCTTTTATATATACCGTTAGTCTTAGACCGAAGCCGGCACGTGCGACCATTAATTCTCATAATCAACATGCTTAAGATGTAGTGACGCGCTGCTTGCTTAGTCGTGATAGCTTATCACAACGCACTTCGGAAACAGTGATGACACACAAGTATCGAAATAAACGAAAAAAAAACGCGAGCGCATACGTCTTTTGCATATTTTTGTGTTTCTGCGCTGTCTTACTTTTTCATACACGCTGCTGTAAGTTATCATGATCAACAATATATTTCCAATTTCGGAATACGCTGAACGCGTCCGGAGCGACACGATATGACTAGGATTGTCTTCCAAAAGTCTGTCAAAGCTGGTTGATTCAAATCTCTGTAAAAAATGCTTCGTTAACAATGAATACATTGTAAGTGTATACCGTGCCCCTGAAAAAATTCACAAAACTCGCAGGGTCTGTTATGCACTCGCATAAGACAACTCTATCTTCTTTTCTCTCGGTTAATATATTGATCCTCCCCCGCCCCCCTCTGAAGGCTTTCAGCACCCATAATTGATTTCGCACTGCATCCGTTATCGGAGGCATCACACGATTTCTCACCTGGTATAAGCACTACCTCGGTGGTCGGCGCACCTTTGAGCAAGTGGCCATAGAGTTTCATACGACAATACCGATAGGGGAATCTGAAGCTAGTGTTTATGCGGGCTTTTTCAGTGGCGCTTGTATCCACATGGGAATTATGGGAAGCACAGGCTTTGAATCTGCTTCGAATGGATCGCGTTGTTGAGATTCGCGAC